ACCAGGATAGTTTTAAGTGAGAAATAATCTAAATGTGTACCAACATGTATTATATTCATGGACAAAAGTATACTAAACTGTATACTATAAAGCACAAAAATGAAGAAAGTGTTACCATTCACAGCAACCTGGGAGCATCTCATTGACATTGTGCTGAATGAGAGCAGTGTGGCAGAGTGCTTGCTAGCATGTGTAAGACTCTACATTTGATCTCTAGCACTACAATTTTTAAAAATGTTGAATAAAAGCCAGACACAAAAGTCTGTGTATACAGTATTATTCCAGTTATAGTTCCTAACACAATGCCTTGCATAGAACAGACAGGCATCTGAACTTTTTTGGTAATAAAACTCCAGTCAAAAGGCAATCATTACATCTTTGCTCATTTTATTTCCAGCTCCAGAAGAAAGAGACCCACATACACAGCAAGATATATCTTTGCATTTTATAAGCATTTCTGACATTTCATTGTTTAGTTTTAGGCTAGACCCCAACCAAAAGAAGAATCAGTGGAGTTCTAGCATAATGACTGATAAGTGGCATCACTCAAACTTTCAAGTGTTCTTTATGTCTTTTATGTGTTTCTTTAAAAAAAAACATGCTAAGATACGCATAACATAAAACTGATCATTTAAATTTTGTGTGTGTGTGTGAGGGGGGAGAGAGGGAAAGAGAGGGAGAAAGAGGGGGGAGAGAGGGAGAGAGGGAGAGAGAGTTGGGGAGGCCAGGGATGTGGTTTAGTGGCAGAGCATTTGCCTGACATATATAAAGAAAAGATAGGTAAATATAAAATGTTAACAATTGGGACTTTGGATAAAGGGAAGGAACCAATTATTTTGTATAATATTTTTGATTTTTTGAGACAGGGTTTCTCTGTGTAGTTTTCTCTGTGTAGCTTTGGCCTTGAACTCACAGAGCTCCGCCTGCCTCTAAAGGTGTGTGCCACCACCGCCTGGCATTTTTTTTTTTTTGTATTTTTGTATGATTTTTGAAATATTTCATTTTTATGTGTATGAGTGTTTCCTTGCCATGCATGTATACCATGTGGGACTTGTACCTGCAGAGGTCAGAAGAGGGAGTCAGATCCTCTGGAACTGGAGTTTTGATGGTTATAAGCCACCATATGGTGCTAGGAACTGAACTCTAGTCCTCTGCAAGAACAGCAAGTGCTCTTAACCACTGAGCCATCTCTGAAGCCCCCATTTTGCATATTTTTGCAATTTTACTATCAACTTGAAATAACTTGGAAATAGTAAAAACATCACTTTTTCAAAAGACAATTTCAGTATGTGTGAAAATATTCAAGTTAAGTGAAATATGTAGATTACTAAACAAATGTGCAGTATAAATTTTGTTGACTGCATATATTTAGTTGGATATATTGCTCATGCACAGTTAGTTCAAAAATATAGTTCATATATATTTTAGGAGCATAAAAAAAGTAACAATTGTCATCTGTTGGTAAGAAATAGCCATGCCCAATTTAGAGCAAAAGAAAGTTGAAGAATTTGTGCTGCCAGATATCAAGACCTACTTTAAAGGTACAGGGGTTGGCCAATAGAGAGACGGCTCAGTGGTTAAGAGCACTGGCTCTTCCTGGGCCTTAGGTTCAACTCCCAGCACCTTCATAGCAGCTAACCATCATGTGTAACTGAAGTTCCAGAGGATCAGTGCTTTCTTCTGGCCTCCTCCAGTACTACATTCACGTGGCATACAGGCTTATATGCATAAATCCATACAGATAAAATTTAAAAAGCAAATCTTAAAAAAAAAAGGTACAGAAATTCTGATTGGAGAGATTTTACATCCTCTTCTGTCCTCCAAGGGCACCAAGACATGCATGTGTGTGCAGGCATGCTTACAGACAAAACACTAACACATAGATTTTTTAAAAAAAAAACTATACATGTCATATAAAATACATTTATTAAAAGTTATGTGGCTATAATTACAGGAGAATCAGGAAATCCCCAGATGCCAAAGAGGAACTGAAAGTACCAGTGAAATTGAGAGCTGGTGAGTATCTCCCAATAAAGATTTGTGGTTCTGGGCATCTTGCTTGGGAGTTTTTGGTTTGGGGGCCCAAAAGGCCTCTCAGAGGTTGAAACTGATCATCTCAGTATGAAATGGAAACTCTTAAAATATTTGCTAAGTGGAATGCCAGATTATTAAAAAAATAATTGCCCACTACAAGAAAACAAGGGACATTCTCTCTGCTTGGCTTTGAGGATAGGGGTCTGGAAAGGGCCCCTGTGTGAGAAGAGCTGTCTTTCTTTACCTGAAGCTTGTGCTTTGCATAAGATTGAGGTCAAACTTTCTAAGACCATCCAGCTATATCCATAGTTTGTTCCATGGATCTAGTCAAACCAAGTATTAATCCACTGGCATAGCACTAGCAACATCCATATAGCCAGAGAAGTGTCACACATAAAAATATTCATGGAAATAACAGATTATTAAAAAAAGAGCAGAAAAATGTATCCCTCAAAAAAGTCAGTAGGAAAACAATAGTCAAGACTAAAAAAATGTCAAAATAGGATGTCAGTCTGAATGAAAACAAATGTACAAAGATACTGAAGAAGACATGAAGCCTTTAAGAATAATACACAAGCCATTGCTTTTAACCACTGATTCATTTCTCCAGCTCCAACATTTGTGTTTGTAGCAGGAACTGTTATAGATGAGTTTCAATTACTTTCTTGTGAGGCTCAGAAATCCTCATATTTTTATAGGTTTATTAAGAATTATTTCAAAAATAAAATCTGGGGAGATGGTTTAGTGGGTAAAGCACTTACTTTCCACAAAAGTTTGGCTATCTGAATTTGGATCTCCAGAATCCACAGAAAAGCCAGAGGCAACAGTATAGGCATTTGTAATCCCAGAACACCCCTACAAAGAGATGGAAGGTTGAAACAGGAGAATCTCCAGAGGCTTCTTCTGAGCCATCTAGCCTGGTTTATATAGCATTGAAGAGACCCTGTTTCAAACAGAATGGAAAGGCAAGGACCAACAACTGCATTGTCACCTGACCTCTACCCTTTTGCCAGACCTACCCACACTTATATCCATGAACATACATGCATTCCCCCCAAAACAATACTAATCAAAATTTAAGTGTCCATCCTTACAATTTGTTTTTCAATAGAATTAATGACTAGGCTCAATAATCTCTTGAAAGTTTAATGAATGATTATCCTGCATTTTCTTAGAGCTGACAAGGGTATCCAAGTTTCCAAATATGAACTGGCTGAAGGACCTGGTCTTGGACTCTTTCCTTCCTGCCAAATATCAACCTTCATTTAAGACTCTATTTTTTTCTAGGACCTTTGCTTTGCAGCACAGTTCTCACTTGATAACTGGGTTTCCAAAGAACCTGTTTGGTTGATTCTAGCTTATTCCTTCATCAATTTGCCTATTTACAACACCGTCATGTTGCAAATGAGATATCCTCTCTTGGGAACAAAGACTACATACAATAAGGCAATCATAGGTGATAAATATCTTTGGCCTGGATTATTCATTTAACACATTTATTGCTAACCTACTATGTTTCAGGTCCTGGAAGACAAACAGGACAGGGTCCATTTTCCATGAAGATCATGATGACATCAGACAAAAGAATTTCATGAGCATTCAGCTCCATTTTGAGAACACAAAAGCAGATAGGATTCCTGACATCTCTGGCAGTCAAGGCACAGAACTAAACAAAGTTTAATGAAATAAAGTATGACATTTAAGTGTCAGTACCTTAGTACATAGGAAATTGCTGAAAAGGCTGGTTGGTTAAGAATTCCTGAAAGAGGGGCTGCATCTAAAACTGGGTATGATAAGGAGGAGGAACTTAGGGAACTGTGAAACCTTCCCCCAGCACACATATTTTATACCAACAGGAGGGCGTAATAATTATAGCTTGATTTTCTCTGCAAAGCTGTCCTACTCGGTTACTGCCCTAGTTCTGTCCTATAGTGGTCTGACTGTACAAGAACACAGCTTTTACACTTGCACACACAGAATAAATGTTTAGCTATTATGAACAACTTCATTTATAAAAATTAAATTGTGTGTGTGTGCCCAGTGGGAATGTGTGGTCAGAGGGCCGTCTTGAGGAGTCAGTTCTGTCCTCCCACCATGTGGTTTCAGGGGGATGGTATTGAGGTCCTCAGGTTTGGAGGCAAGTGCCTTTACGTGCTGAGCCATCTCACTCGTCCCTCAACTTGACAATTTCATAGTAGTAGTTTTTTTGTTTGTTTGTTATTGCTTTCCTTAGTTTTGGAACTAATTTCCTGAGTCCACAATCAATACGCTCTGATTTTAGATAATTCTAATTTCTGTGCAAATACAATTCAATTTGATGGAGTAAAATTTTCTCAGTCATCTAAAACAGTTTCTCTATGAAAGTTGAGTGGACATTCCCCTCCCCAAACTGTTCTATGAATGACTGTGATATAAACCCCATTGTTGCATGTTCACGGTGTGCCAGAAACCCTACTTAAATCACTCTTTAAGTACTCAACTTTAGGAGCCCTGGTGCGCCACCACAGGTAGGTTCCCCGGGAGAAAGGAGCAAGAGGCACAGGAGGCTGACTCCGCGGGAGGACAGCATCTTCATCAGAAGGGCCACGGGGAGCCTGTCCACGAAGGAACCGGTCCCCTTGGGGGCGAGGGTGGTTCTTCATCCGACCTAGGGCCCATCCAAGCCCGGAATAATCAACAGGCTTCATAAATATCTCAGGAGAGTGCGAGAATCAACGTGTTTCCGAAAACCCCACACTGAGTTCCCCTGGTAGGATTTTGTCTGACAGAAAATTAGAACCCCTGCGCGCCTAGAGTTTCAAACTACTCGAAGTCACGCCTCCTAAGAACCAGAAGCATTGCTAATAGCTACTGAACGGACATTTGTAAGGGGCGGGGCCTCAGCGAAAACTATAATCCCCAGAATGCAAAGCGGAGCTTCCGGTTTCCGGCAAGAGGGCCAGAGTGAGTGTTTACACCGGCGGCTCTCTGCGGCCGGGTTCCTTCCGCGGGACGGGTGAGGGCGCTGGGCCCCCTGGGCGCGCGGGGCTCTCGTGGGTCTGGAGTAGCTAACTGGTCCCACGGGAGAGGTGGGGTTGACAACAGTGTCCCTACTCACGACTAGGTATCAGTGACCTTGGGCCAAATGACTTGAGCTGAATCTTGATTACTGATCTGTAAAATATGGATGACAATGCCTGCCCCGGGGGGCGGTTGCGAGGATCGAGATCGCTGTACAAAAAAACCCAAGTCTTTCCTCGATTTAAACCGAAGGTGGACAGTATCTTGAGGTCTGCTGGGTAGAGTCATAACTTTTTCTTAGCCTTGTCTCTACCGCAAGAGGCTTCTTTGGAAGAAGTCGTGTCTACAACAAGGGCTTGCCTTGCATTGCAAGGCTCTTGCACCCTTTGAGTTTTTCGATTTATTTTGTGGGCATTCATATATGCCAGGCTTGGGGACAGTGAATTAGAAAAGCTCTAGTCTTGGCTTCCAAGGCTTTCAAGATTTGGGGATGGGGGGCGGGTGATGGTGTGAAATTGAGAAGTAAGTAAGTCTTACAAGGAAAAAGCAGCAAAGAAAATACCCTTGTTAGTCTGGCATCTGGTAATGAAGCTGGCTGACTAGCTACTTATCCTCAAATCTATTGATGTGTGTTGCTCTTTTGCCTTGAGGGAACAGGGAATGTGTGACCAAGAGAAGAAAAAGAGGGCATGGAAATGATGTATTTGTGTGGGTCTTGGTAGGAGTTTGCTAAGAGGCCAAAAAGGGAAGAGAACTTACATGCAAAGACAGGAGGTGAGCAGAGGTATATATGGGGACAATTTTGTTATGAAGTAGACTTACTGTTGTTATAAGTGGGGCAGGGCTGGGACTTGTAGGAGTTAGAATGAATGGGTCTTTAATCCAGACTGTGGGGTTTACACTAGTTAGAAGAGGTGCTTTGGGGTCAATGAGGACAGTTAAGTCATTTGTCAGATCTGTGTTTTAAACATTAAGACATTGGGTGGCACCATGGATCTTTGATATTCGGAGACAAGAAAGGCAAGGACTTGTTAAAGCTGTTGTAACAGCTAAGCCAGAAATTGAAGGAGAAAACAAGAAATCAGTGTTTAAAAGGTGTGTTGGGTGATCTTGCTCAAACCTCACAACGTTCCTATCAGAATGATCTTTTATGTCCACTTTAAAGGTGAAGAAACTGAAGCATAGAGAAATTCTTTGCTGTCCACTGTAGGAGGAATAAAGGGAGGACACTGTGTTCTAGTTTACTAATGTTTACTAATGTTACACCTTATGCTTCTGCAGCAGTATTGCACCGAAGTTATCTTTCATTTAGCCTGGTTGCAGAAAATGAATAGGATGGTTGTTTGTTCTTTAACCATTAATGCCTTATTCTTTTACAGGGAGAAAGAGAGAGCGCGAAAGAGAGAGGATGTCTCTCTCAGACTGGCATCTGGCAGTGAAGCTGGCTGACCAGCCACTCGCCCCCAAGTCAATTCTTCAGTTGCCAGAGACAGAAGTGGGAGAATATTCCCTAGGGGCTTATAGCATTTCGTTTCTAAAGCAGCTTATTGCTGGCAAGCTCCAGGAATCTGTTCCAGATCCGGAGCTGATTGGTGAGTCTTGCAGCAGGGTTGCTGCTCTGGCTTCTTCCAGGAGAGGAGTTAAAAGAGTAAATTAAGGGCTTGTGATTTGTTGCCTCATAATGTTAACACTCTAGAATTAAGTTTTGCATGAGCAGAAACACAAAACATATGACAAAAGCTGTTGTTTGCCACTTTAGTCATGTATTACACTGAACAACTTCGTTATGACTTTTTGTTTGCTTGTTTGTTTGGTTTTTCGAGACAGGGTTTCTCTGTATAGCTTTGGAGCCCATCCTGGCACTCTCTTTGGAGACCAGGCTGGCCTCAAACTCATAGAGATCCGCCTGCCTCTGCTCCCCAGTGCTGGGATTAAAGGCGTGCACCACCAGCTCCCGGCTGTTATGACTCTTAACTATGACATTGTTGAGGTCTTTCTCTGAGAGAACAAAATTAGGTGTGGGCTGAACAAAGAGTTGCTCATGAGACAAGACTCCTCAATCTTATCACTTAAGGAATAATTAGAAGGATTTTTTGTTTGTCTTAATGGATGATTGAAGGGAAGGCAGGCAAATAGGAATGAGGTTGCCAAGGAAGAAGGAGGAACTTCAGTACAGTACAGTCAAATGAGATTATAAATGTAATTTATAATAGTCAAGGGTTCCAACTGGTGAAAAACATATTTCCTATCACAGGTGGATTAGATTCATCCTTTTTGGTTGCTACATTTTTTTCCATTTATTTAGATTAATTACTCTCTACAGTATTGAGCTCTAGAGCTCTTCTGTGGATATATGTGTTAAATAAGCATTTGTACATGGTAACAGTTGTTTAAAATGTTGGGTTTTGTTTGTTTGTTTTTGAGATAGGGTCTCACCAGGCTGGCCTGAACTCACTGTTTGCCTCTGCTTCCCTAGTCCTGGGATAAAAGGCATGCAGCACTACACCTGGCCAAAAATGTATTTCTTGATATCCCCACAACACACACAGGTGCTCACTATTATATCCAGGGCCTTGTATATGTTAGAAAAGCAGTCTGCCACTGAGCTGTACCCAAAGCCTGTTTGATTTTTTTTTTTTTTTTTTAAAATGTTAAAGCAGGATCTTGCTAAATTTCCCAGTCTGGCCTCAAGTTTGCTTCAGCCTTTCAAGTATCTGGGATTACAGATGTATGCCAATGCACCTGGGAGAGTATCTTTTTTTGTATATATGTGGTGCATATATGTTTGTACAGGAGAATGTACTCATTTATGTATCTGAAGAGACCAGAACAGGAGATCAGGTGTTCTCTCTTATTCCACTTTATTGCTTTGAGACAAGATCTCGCACTGAACCTGAGGCTTACAGTTTGGGTTAGGCTGGATGGCCAGCAAGTTCTTGGTGTCAGCTTGCCTCTGCCCTCAGTTACTTGGGGTTACAGACATATGTGCCATGCCTGGCTTTTTGTGTGGGTGCTGGGGATTGAACTGAGGGCCTCATGTTTGCAGAGCAAGTGCTCTTACCTACTGAGGTGTTTCCCTAGTTCCTGATAGCTGTCTAAGATTCTTAGGAGACAGAAAGCAAATTGTTTTGAGAAATAAAGTATAAATGGGCAGTTTTTGTTTCTTGTTTTTTTTTTTTTTTTTTTTTTTTTTTTTTTTTTTTAGATCTGATCTATTGTGGCCGGAAGCTAAAAGATGACCAAACCCTTGACTTCTATGGTATTCAGCCTGGGTCCACAGTCCACGTTCTCCGTAAATCTTGGCCTGAGCCTGATCAGAAACCTGGTAAGTGGTGGTTTGTCCTTAGTTAGATGAACAGAGCTTCCTGCTGTTTCCAAGGGAAGAGCCTGTGTATTTTGAGGTTCAGTTCTGGATGCAACAAGCATTTACTGAGATGGTGATAGGATCTATCTTTATCCTTATTGGATTAGATCCCACTGATAGAGTTAGGTTGTGGCACTGTTACTGCCAACACCACTAATAATAGTTTTTGCTTTTTTACTTTACAAGTTTATTATCCCTTGTTTTCTAACCATGTAAGGAATATGGGTCTATTTAAACTCGTTAGTAACAGCTGACTTGTCAGTAACTTTATATCCTCTTACTGTAGCTGTGTCCATTAGACAAAAATCAGAAACCTACCTTATTTTTGTAATGCTACAGTTTGTTCTTGTGTGAGTAAATCTTCCCACAAACTCTCTCAGGTGGTATTTGCTCAAGAAGCTAACTATTCCTGTTGTACTGGTAATTTATTTCTAGAAAATACTCCCAACAGCATTCAAGTAGCTCTTGAAGAAACTATACAAAACCTAAAGCCCTTTTAGTTTACTAATAGAAGATGCTGCTTGAAATTTACAATGCCAATTTTGTGTTTGTGTTTTAAAAGCTTCTCCGAGTTATGTTAAAGAGATTAGCTTTGTTAAACTAGCAGCCTGACACATTTTTATCTTGTTTGTGTCTGCTATGAGTAGTTATCAGTTTGAAAGTTATCTTTTCAGTTTTAAACATTAAAGACAAAAACATCTTTTGTATCCATATGGGAAGTGAGAGAGAGAAGCAGCCCCACATACAAGGATTCGTCAGACACTCAGTAGCCAGGCTTTGGAGTCCCACTGTTACAAGGTTCATCATCATCAGACAAGAACATTCTGATACCACTGTGGATCAAGTGAAAAATAAGATCCTTACCATTTCTAAGCAGAGACAAAGTCTACTCCTTGTCCAAACACACAAGAAGTTGCATATCCCTTCACCCTGGCTGATGAGAGTTACTGCTGCCTCTGCCAATTACAGCTTTCACCTTGCTCTAGTTTGCCTTTCTTCTCGAACAAAACTATTAAGAATCTAATCATAAAACTGGCCCCAGAGCAAAACTGTGTTTTCCCCAGAATCATCCATCAAAGCCAAAATCCTTTGACCTTCCTAATATCCTCTGATTAAAATGCCTGCAGTTCTTGGGGTATAGAACCCAGCTTGTTCAGGTACAAGTCTGTCCCTCTGCTCTTCAGCTAGAGGGCATTGACTGAAGAAAATGGTTATGGGTTCTGCAAGCTAGTTTTGTTTTTTTTGTTTTTTTTTTTTCTTTCAGTTTCTTACTTAATCACATTCTAGCATTTTCTGGCTTAGGAGCCTTTGTGTTTTCTTCTGGCCTGACTGCCTCTTTCCCAAAGGGTATTATAGAGACACCCATTACTCTTAGCAGACTGTGCCTTAGGATATTTAGAGCCTTTTCCTCCCCATGTTATCTGCAGGTTTATTTTTGAAACAAATGGAATTTTTATTGGGAGGTAAATTTAAATTTAGTTATGAAAAGAAATTTTTTAAATAATGCTACTTGAGATATTTTCTCCTGCAGCATTCTTCTTCCAAAAGGAGGTCGATTTGATGATATGCTTCTGTGGTCACAGAATAACAGGCCAAGAGAGGAGGGTTGCTCACTGAAAGCCAGTCTGGTCTAAATAGCCCTTTCCCAAACAATGGGAATGAAGCAAACAACAGCACCCCACCCCAGAGTTGGCACTGTAGGAGGAGAGCCCACCAGCCTCTTTTTTCCACCTGGATCACATTGGGGAATCTCCATTGCAGGCTACTGTTTACCAAGGCTCTCTCTTTATTTTGTGTGTGTGTGTGTGGAGCCATGGCTTTGATTTTATAGCCTAGAACTTATAATCTTTCCTCCTCTTCCAAAGGGCTGGGATTAGAAGTATATGCCACCATACTCAGCTTAATTTATTTATTTTTTATTTCTTGGCAGTGTTGGAGAGCAAGTACGCCTTCTTATTCCCCCATGCCTTTCTGATATTTTCATTTAGACTTCGAAGCCCTCCTTCCAGAAAACATGTACTCGGCCTTAAGTTACCCGCTTGGATGGTCTCCCAGGAGGCAACTTGGACCCTAACCTTACTTGTAGTGATGGCTAGCACCCTTACTGGCAATCTGTGTCTCTGCCCAGGACCTCAATATGGCATTTTATAATTGTACGTTCATATGTTAGATTTAGTGTCATAGTTTCATTTCTCCTACTGCCCAAGAATTCCTGGGAGAAACTCTTATTTTTCGCCTTCCTGTGACTTGCTCAAAGCTAGATACAAAATAAATGCTTGATTTCTTTAGTTTGTTGAATGAATAAGTTAGGAAATTATGGTATCTCTTTTCCAAAGGAGACAACAGTCTCATGATCATGATATGAATTCTGTTCTGGACTCCAGGCTTACAGTTCACTTTGCTTTGAGAGTAGTGTCAATAAACTCTGATTATGTAGCCTAGATTATCCTAAGGACACTACAGTGTGACCCAGCGTGAACTTCCTACCTGCTCCTATCCCTCAGACTCCTCCCCTATGAAATGGGTTATGACAGTCAGGTAACCAGATGCAGAGTGACTACTGCTAGGCTCTCCTAGATATGTAGATCACAGTGTCCAGAAATCAAAAAAGAAGTTGCTATTTGGTACATGATAAAAGTTTATTCAGAGCTTTCAAGTGCCTTGCACTTCCTTAGTCCTCATTGGGATTCTTTTTATTGTGACTTGGTTTTTATTTGTCAGTTTGTGGTACTTAGGACCAAACATAGGGTCAGGTTGTCAGGCACTGTGTTTTTTCTAGCCCAATTTCTCTATCTTTTTATGAGTCAAAATAATATTACAGGGGCTGGAGAGATGGCCCAAAGATTAATAGTACTGTCTGCTCTTCCAGAGGACCCTGCTTCAATTTCCAGCACCTGCATATAGCTCGCAACCAAATGTAACTCCAGTTCCAGGGAATCTGGTGGCCAGGCACTCACGTGGTACACAGACATATATGTAGGCAAAACACTCATATACATAATAATTAAAAGATAAGTAAATAAAAAAGAATAAAGAAACCTAAAAAAAAAGTTAGAGAAATCCAAAAGAAAATAATAAAGAAGAAAGAATTGTCCATAGGCCCGTCCCTCCTAGAAAATGTTATTCTTTATCTTGCTCCTTCCAGTCTTAGACCATATGCAGACTGACATATTTTGCATAGTTTTACCAGAGAATGCACATCCAAATTTGTGTTCTATTTCTTTCTCTTAACATATTGTGTCAGCATAGTGCTATATCGTTAAGATGGCTTGGAGTGAACTTATTTTAAGTCCCTACGTAAGAGTCACTGAGTTAGTTAATTATGCATTCTTTTCAAACGTAAGAAGTCTAGAATTTCTGCAGTGGGTTGTTGATCAGAAAAGCCTCAAGCCTCTTTCATGTGGCAAGATCCCCCTCTGCTGGAACTTTTTTTTTTTATGTACTGAAGGTAATTTATTGAGCGTGCAAATGTTTGTGTGGCACAAAGGGTTTTTCTGAGGTGGTGCTCACAATCTTAGAGGGTGATGATCTGTAGACCAAGTTGCACCTGGACAAATGATGAAATGATGTTGCCACGTTTGTGGTAATGACAGAGCTTGGGCTTAGGGATAACTAAGTGTCTTGTCCTCTAGAACCTGTGGACAAAGTGGCTGCCCTGAGGGAGTTCCGGGTGCTGCACACTGCACTGCACAGCAGCTCCTCCTACAGGGAGGCGGTGAGTTCCAGCCAAGACTGCAGGAGATGATGTGAACACTGGTCCTTGTTTAGCTTGGGAGCTGACAGCACATTGCCATGGCAACCAAGAGTTCCTCTGGGAGTTTTTGCCATGTCTATAGGCCTTGGTAGAATCATGTCTTTCCTCAAAGAGCCTGTCAGGCAATGGTTATTGATTCCCTGTCATAATAATTACACAACCTCTCCTCAGACTGGCCTTGTGGACTGAATATGGTTACTGCTACAGAATCCATATACCTTTCTGATGGGACTTGATCTTTGACTTTTGGTGAAAGAGCCTATCACCTCTTAAGCATGGATTTCCCTAATGGAGAAATGGACTGTTGACAGGCAGAATTAATACAGCTGTGAACTTCCTTCCTAATATATACCAGTGTAAAGTCATCATTATATGGAGATTGGAAGGGGCTTTAGAGACCTGGAGAAAATGGTTTTGGGCTTGTGATGAGAGCATTTGTTTTAGAAGCATTGGAAATCCAGGGATGGTGGTGGGGAACCACAGGGACTATGTTCCATTGGGGTGGTATGTATACACGCATCCTAAACAAGCATTCAGAAGAATGAAGTCAAGGACAGTGGATAATTGATGACTGTATGGCGCTGGTTGGAATGGTAAGCCATCCCTGTCTATCTTGCAGGTCTTTAAGATGCTCAGCAATAAAGAATCTCTGGATCAGATCATTGTGGCTACCCCAGGTCTCAGCAGTGACCCCATTGCTCTAGGTAAGTACAAGAAAAAATTTGAAGAAATGTGAGGTTTTGGAAAAGGAGAAAACCAGGAGCAAAAGAGGGCTCTGACCATCTTTTGAAGATGCACTGCTGTTGAGAGATGAGAGACATAATCAAGGCTCATTCCACAAACCCAGCCCTAAGGGTCTCAGTCCTCCATCATGGCAACTCTGTGTGCCTAAATGCAGGAGAATGTGGGGGACAGGGAGCATTCCCGATAGGACAAGATGCCCTTGACTTTGTTTCCTCCTCTTTTCAGGAGGGCTGGTTTGGGGTCCCATTGAGTTGCTTGCTTTGAGACTTAATGCTGCTTCTTCCTTTTGGGTCTAGCCAGATTTCCAGTATCTAAGAGAAATATTGGTCTCTTCCAGGGGTTCTCCAGGACAAGGACCTCTTCTCTGTCTTTGCTGATCCCAGCATGCTGGATACGTAAGTATAACCACCATTTTGTCAAGTGCCATTCCTCATGTGGTCAGGCCAGAAACCTGGGATCTCTTCTTGGAAGCCAGTTCAGTCTATGTAAGTGTGTCAAGATGAAAGGAACAGCAAGGGCTGCTTGAGGAATAGAAAAGCCTACGGGCAGGGGCAAATGAATTGTGTCATGATGAAGCAGTGGGGTGAGAGAGGGAGAGAGAGTGAGCTTTGTGTACTAGGTGGGTTTCATGTAGTAAATGTCAGGGATTGTAAACTAGGAAAAGTAGACATAGGTATGTAGGACAATAAAATGTTAGAGCTAGAAGTTACAGTAGTGTCTGTGTCCCCTTATTTTGCAAGTGAAGAAATTAACTCTGCTCTAGGAAGAGAAAGGAGTCATCAGAAGCTGCCTATTGTATATGATGTGGTGTCTGGACCCAATTCTGAACCCCGAGCCTACCAAACTGTGCATTTCCATTTCCCATCATGTCTTGCCTGTATTTTGCTTTAGTGTCTTTGTGATGGATTTTGAGTGGATCTCAAAATCGGAGCCTTTCTGACACTGCTAAGGGCAGGTCAGCAGTATGACAAAACTTCCTGGCAAAAGATGCTGAAGAATGGGCTAAATGTGGGGCATGTACCTGTAATCCCTGAACTCTGGAGGCAGAGGCAATCACAGTAAATTTGAGACTTGCTTGGCCTAGAGAGAAAAGTTCTAGGCCAGCCAGAGCTACAGAGTGAGGCCCCAAACAATGCAAAATTCTGCTGAAGACTAAGGGCAGGTCTAGGTAGCTCTGTTTTAATAGTTACCCATACTGTCATGGAAAAGGGTGCTGTTTCCCTAATCATTCTTTTCTGTCCCTCTTTCTAGGTTGGTGCCTGCTCACCCAGCTCTAGTCAATGCCATCATTCTGGTTCTGCACTCGGTAGCAGGCAGCACCCCAATGCCAGGAGCTGACTCCTCTTCCCGAAGCATGCCCTCCAGCTCGTACCGAGATATGCCAGGTGAGGCCCCTCAGGAGCTGGTCGTGGCCCAGGGATTTGCTTTACTCAGCAGCTATGTATAGTGTTGGCATAGGGCGTGAGTCAGGAAGTGCATCTGTCCTGTAATTTTCCAAGGGGAGAGATGAAATATGAATTTGGAGCGTAACTTGAGCTGAGATCTGGAGCTGCGCCGGTGTCTTTCTGTTCTTCCTCCTGGAATCTGTTCACTCTCCTCCAGGTGGCTTCCTGTTTGATGGGCTCTCGGATGATGAGGACGACTTTCACCCAGTGAGTGGCATGGCAGCCTGCCCCTTGTGGGAGAAGGTCCTGGGAACCTGAACCTCCTTAGGGACCTACTATTCCCAAGGCTGGGAAGTGGCCAAGGGGACTTTGGGGGCCAAGGCCATGTCTTATTATTCCTTTTGAAAGTTGGACCTTAGGAAGCCTTTCTGGGAACTGTGGGAGCATTGGGTGTGGTTCTTTTGTCCTAATTCTGGATGCTTCTTTTTCCCAGAGCACCCGGTCTACGCCCTCTAGCAGTACACCTAGCTCCCGCCCGGCCTCCCTGGGGTACAGTGGAGCTGCTGGGCCCCGCCCTATCACCCAGAGTGAGCTGGCCACTGCCCTGGCCCTGGCCAGTACTCCAGAGAGCAGTTCTCACACCCCAACTCCTGGCACTCAGGTATGGAGAGAGGGTTGGGAACATTAAGGCCAGGCTGCCAAAATCAAAACTCCCTGAAGTAGATTTACCTTTACTACCCTTGGTGCTAGATCTCTTTGCACTAGATTCTGGGGCCTGGTAGGGAGGGATTTCTCAGCTGTGGGTCAGGTGACTCCCTTTTTCACTTACTTACCTTTAGGATTCAGAAGCACAGGCCTGGTTGTGTCCTCTTTCTTATCCCCAACAGGGACTAGATACCACTGGAGAAAGGTTCCTGTTGATGATTTGCCCCATCTACAAAGCTACCTCTCTCAATACTGGGGTTCTAGTTTGGGCTTGGGATCTCAGAGTCCTTTTTCTTGGAGTGAAAGAGCATGGAACCTTTTATGTCCACATAGATTGCTTTTAAGTACCCCATAATAGAGTGTGGTTGTCTCATAACAGACCCCTGTTGGGAGGCAGGAGTTAGGTACTCCAGGAGTTAGGTATGAGATCATGTGGCAACACTGACTATCTGCTGTGAAACTGAGTTGGCTCTGGAACAATGCTGACTATTTATTTGAATCTAGGGCCATTCTTCAGGCACCTCACCAATGTCCTCTGGTGTCCCGTCAGGGACACCCATCACCAACGATCTTTTTAGCCAAGCCCTCCAGCATGCCCTGCAGGCCTCTGGGCAGCCCAGCCTTCAGGTGAGTCTCCCCACTTTCAGTTTTATGTAGCCTCCTAGTTTGGCACACTGAACCTGTTTCTGCACATTGGAGGTCCTTCCCTCTGGGAACACCAGGGGCAAATGAATGACAGTGTGACAGGTGAGCCTTCCCAGAAAGGGCAGTAGTTCTTGTGTTCTTGTGGCTTCTCATTCTTGCCTGAGTGACTATGGCCTGACTCCTGTAATCATGAGGAAGTTTTAGTTAATTATTCATTCAGTGAGTATTAACTGAGCAGTGAGCACACGTGTTATTGGGACTGGGTTGAGCTGCTGGATCTCAAAGTGAGCCTGTCTTTTTTTTTTTTTTCCTTCAAGACAGGGTTTCTCTGTGGCTTTGGAGGCTGTCCTGGAACTAGCTCTTGTAGACCAGGCGAGTCTTGAACTCACAGAGATCTGCCTGCCTCTGCCTTTTGAGTGCTGGGATTAAAGGCGTGCACCACCAACACCTGGCCATATGGTGCATTTCTCTACCTTCCATAGCCTTACTCCTGTTTGCCTCTGCGTTTCTTCCCCACTGTCTTCTCCTCACATGTGAAGTTTTCCATAAGTTGTTCATTTCCTTTCTGTGAAGAGGGAGACAGTATTGAAACTATGAAGTACTAGAGAAAAAAATGTGGGCAAATCGTTTTCAATCCTAACAGCAGGGAAAGCTTCTCATGGCTGAAATTCAGAGTCTAGGAGCCATTATATATAGTCATTCTAAACTTTGAGCTTGTCAAAGTAAAAATTCATCCCTGGAAAACCAAAGCCAAAAAAATCAACAGCAAAACCCAAGCAAAGTCTTAAGACTGACAGTTGTAACCCTATCAGACAAGTGGCACATCCTCCTGGAGTAGAGCAGTTTAAGACCCAGCATTCCTAGAAAGGTAGGACAGGGTATGAATAGACTATTCACTGAAAAGGAAGTATGGCTATATGCACGCAGGGTTCCTAGCAGCCCCATTTCTCAGAAATTGTCCTGGAGATGTTTGTGTAAGTAGAAAATGAGTTTGACAACACCAAAAGTCACAGAAGCATTGTTTGTAATGGCAGACAATTGCAGTCAACTGGGAGCTGGGGTATTATATGCTTACTAATAGTTTTTTGTATTAAGGCATGGTGTTACACTGTGATTAAAAGGTGGAGGTAGGAATATTATGAGTTGGTGATTAGCCTGGGCTACATACATATATGTGCACATATATATATATATATATATATATATATATATATGTATATATGAAAACTCCTTAAAAAAAAAAACAAAAAAAATGTTTATGTTATTATGTGCTGGCTAGTTTTTATGTCAGCCAGACACAGACTGGAGTCATCTGAAAGGAGGGGACCTCAATTGAGATACCTTCCTTAAGATCCGGCTGTACACAAGCCTGTGGGGCATTTTCCTAATTAGTGATTGATGTGGGGAGGGCCTAGCCCACTGTGGATGGTGCCATCCCTGGGGTGGTAGTCTTGGGAATGATAAGAAAGCAGACTGAGCAAGCCATGAGGGGCATCCTCCATGGCCTCTGCATCAGCTCCTGCCTCCAGGTTCCTGCTCTTGTTGAGTTTCTGCTCTGACTTAAAACTTTGAAGCAGGGTGTGATGCCTGATATGTACTTGTAATCTCTGCAATCAGAAGGTGGAAGCAGGGGGATTGGGAGTTCAAGGGCATCATCACTTATAGTGAGTTTGAGGCCAGCCTGGGCTACATGAAATCCTCTATCACATATCCGAAAGAAAAGAAAAACTTAAAAAAAACCAGTATGGACCTTTGGAGGAGCAGTGATTACTAATTGCTGAGCCATCTCTTGATGTTTTTCTTTTGTCATATCAGTTTTGATTACCTTCTCTAGCTGCCTTCATTTTTGAAATTTATTTTCTGTTTTTTGTTGGCTTTAATTTGTTTTTGTGATTGCTTTGGACTTTTTAGTATAAAACTATTATTTCACTGTTGGGTGGTTAAGTTCTACCATGACTAACAGTTCCTTGCCAAAAGACCATCTATGGCTTCATAACCAAGGTCTTCTTTATTAATATTTTGTCTGGGTTTCTGAACATCTGGACCACAAGGCAAGCACTTTTACCCATGGGGCCATCTTACTGGCCTTTATGGGCTTTTCTGTGCAGGCTCAGTCAGTGCCAGCATCCATGGCTGCTGTGAATTCATTATTGTAATGTTTGTGTCTTGCCTAGAGGATGACATTTTGTAGCCCTTCATCCAGTGCTTTCATTTCTTTCCACCCCCCTCTTCTGAAGTATTCTCTGAACCTCAGAGGGAATGGTATAAGCGTCTCATTTTAGGGATGTAAAGCACCTTATATAGTCATGAATCTCTTCATTCACCACTATTCACTGGAAAGAGAGGCTTCTCTTCTTGAAGTTGAGAGGAACATTTGTATGTGTGTATAAGCATAAATATATAGAAGGCAGTTTAGACAGCAGCATTCAGTCCCCTTCCCCTTAGGGCTTACCATCTTCCAAGCACGGGGTTTTGGTCAGGTTTACCATACCAGCCATGGATTCCCTCCTATAAAGCAGGCCTCAAAGCCGATGATAGAGCAGTTGTTTACCCCTTTAACAGCAGTGCTACCGTTATTCAAGCGGGGCACATCTTACTTGGCAAGTGGTCTCATAGTTCGTAGGGTTCACATGCGGATAAGACCATTGATGTCTGGCAGCCTGCATAGTACCTTTGGGGACTATGAAAGCTATCCAGTAGAGAAGAAGCTTCCAACTCAGTTCCAGTGTTACTTCTCTGTATCGTGCTAACAAAATGTGTGGTGTCTTCAGCAGTAGGGTCTTATTCTAGTTCTGGTGGGCAACCAAGAGGAAAATCAAGAACCTGTATTGTTTCAGGGAGCTCTGGAGCCTCCCTGATTAATTACTCTCTAATTAATATCCCACCCTTGGTACTGGTGTTTTGTTTTGTTTTTAAATAACCCATAGCTCTAAGAGCAGCTTTTCCCAGCCATGGAAGGTATGCTTAATAGGTTTCCATGTGACTTTTCATACCCCCTTTGTTTTTGTTAACCACCTTCTTCATCTGTCTCAACACCTCCTCCTTATTTAAACCTTTCCATCCCAGTGTCCCCCATCTCTGCTTTCATAGTACCTACAATCTACTTTACTTCTCACTCTCAAGATAGCCTCCTCCCAGCGTCCCCCTTTAAAGTTTCATGACTTCAACAGTTACTCTTTTTTTTTTTTTTTTTTTTAAGGCTCACTGGGCATGAATTAGGGATGCCCTACCTTGACCTCACTCCTGATGTACAGCTATTTTCAAAATGTATTCCTCGAGAAACACAACCATACATGCAGGCAAAACATGCATAAATATTTTTAAAAATAATAATAAAATTAAAATAAAAAACACCCCATCAAAACATTTAACATTTCTGCTTGGATCTCCACAGTGGTTGTCTTGAAGAATGACACATTTTTTATAAGTTCCAATAGCAAGTGGTTTTCACTTTATAGCTGAGGATGACTCTGAAACTCTGACCACCCCAACCTCCACTTCTGGTTTATTTGGTGCTGGGAGTTGAGCCCAGGGCACAAGCCCAATAGACAAGTACTCTATCACCTAAGTTAGAGCCCAGCCTTGCAAGTGCTTTTCTAGATGTGATGATAGCTTGCCAGTACTCATCAAGCCATTCTCTTACAAGTAGACAGTGATTTGGTAAACTTTTTTCTCTGTCCTTACAAACAGAAGAAACCGAACTATTTTGCTTCTACCTGCCAGTACATTAACCATGTTGTCATTAGATTAGTCTGTATCAGGGGTTGGCAAACTATGACCCATAAGCCAAATTCAGAACACTTAACATTTTACATATCGTCTATGACTGTACTATTTTTATGCATTACACACCAGCAGAGTTACATCAGAGCCTATATAGCATTTAGAAATCTAAAGTATGTGGGTATCCAGCCCTTTACCAAAAAAAGTTTACTAGCCCTTGGCTTATAGGGATCTAGTATCTTAATACCCCATGCACATTATTTTGGTATACATTATTAATTTCATGGTGAGAGTACTTGAAAAACAGTAGTAGTATGTGCCATAGGTTAGATGCCTTAAGATACATAAGTGCTAGAGAATGGAAAATCACTACAATTACAGAAGAGCATCACCTCAGCCGGTAGCTGGTGAGCAAAGATTTAGATTATGTTGGCAGTAAAAATCAAGTTGATGCACCTGGCAGTTGGTACCATTAAGAAAAGATACACTGCTTGCCATGACCTTGCCTTGGTCACTAGAGGTTAGGTGCCTGCCTCGTGGCAAGGAACCAATCAGCTGGTGGCGCTATGCTTTACGGCTCTGGGTGTGCTTTACGGACAAGTGCACAGCAATGACGCACAGAGTATAGCAACCACCCTGGGAGGGCCTATGGGCCATAACAACCAATTGGCCAATCAACACAGGGCAAGCCCTTTAAGCCTGGAGGCACACCAATCCTGAGCCTGTGCATACCCCTAGACACTCCCCTTATGCTGCCCTACAAGATCTCTCTGCAGCCGGTTCGAGCTGTCTTTGCTAGCCATCCGCCATGGCGGGTGGGTGAAAGACCCAAGCTAACATGGAGTTAGCTCGTTAAACAATAAAGCCTCATGAAGTTTACAACAAAAAAGAAAAGAAAAGAAAAGAAAAGATACACTGATTAGTATGCTGTTTTTTAGATTTCAAAGATATTAATACACTTCTGCACATTTATTGAGTCACTGTTTACTGAAAGACAACAGTTGAGGGCCCAGAGAAACAGGATCTAGAGTGCATTACATGACACCATGGGTTCAGTGCAATGGTGTGCAAAATAACTCTGGAAGGCAGGAATGAAGTTCAGAAACCCAGACAAAATATTAATAAAGAAGACCCTATTATGAAGCAATGGATGGTCTTGGCAAGGAACTGTTTCCACTTTGAACACTGGTTTTTATTTTTTTGGTTTTTCGAGACAGGATTTCTTTGTGGCTTTGGAGGCTAGCTCTTGTAGACCAGGCTGGTCTCGAATTGACAGAGATCCACCTGCCTCTGCCTCCTGAGTGCTGGGATTAAAGGTGTGCACCACCGCCCCACTTGAACACTGGTTCTTAGCTTGTTGGTCATGGTAGAACTTAACCACCCAACAATGAAATAATAGTTTAATACCACAAAGCTTCTTTACTGTAACATTTCATTTGTTCTCCTTACCTTTCAGTGTATCTTTAGTCTTCCTGAACCGCCCATGGTATGGCCCTGAGCATCAGTAGTTTTACTGTGGGTGTCTCCTCTCTTCCTTTCTATCCTGAAAACAACCTCTAAGTCTGACTGTTCCATTAGGAGCCCGGCTAACACCTCTGCTTGCCCTGTCTTTCCACAGAGCCAGTGGCAGCCTCAGCTGCAGCAGTTGCGTGACATGGGCATCCAGGATGATGAGCTGAGCCTCCGTGCCCTTCAGGCGACTGGAGGGGATATCCAAGCAGCTCTGGAGCTGATCTTTGCTGGAGGAGCCCCATGAACTTCTTGTACCCAAGTGCCTAGCAAGTTGCAGAGGCAATTCCTCAAAGGAGGCACTTGTGAAGTTTCCTCCAACTCCTCTCACCCCCAATATATCTGATGCTCTACTCAACTGCTGTGTCAAATGCTTGGCCTTCCTATTGATCTCAACTGGTGGGAGTAGCTGGGCAAGCAAGATGTATTGTTTTGGTGCTGTGGCATCAGGGATCAGATTGGCCCCACACACATACTTGGTTTGGGCCCTGGGTAGGAAGTTTCCAACTAGTGTCATGGGGGTAGTGTATAATACCCATGTTTACTTTAGAGGCCAAGTCCCTAGCAATAGTTCCTGTGGACTTTGGTGCTTTAAAACCCAAGGCTGGAGCCAAGCTACAACTTGGCCTTCAGAGTAGTTGCCAAGTTCCAATTAAGGCCAGCAGAGACTACCACTTGTGACGAAAGTGACCAGGTGGATTCTTGGTGTGGCAGGAGAGAATATTTGTCAAGTGATTCCATGACCCCACACTGGCTGTGTCTTAGAAAACATCCTTTGATCTAAGATTCAAACTGCCAGGAAGTGTGTCCCTTTCCTGTGCCTTAAAGGCATGAAGACGATAGCAGTTAAAACAATACTAACATCATCAGTACAGACAGCTGAGCTTTGATACTGACGAGAGAGCTCCAGCCCCAGCTGCTGCTCATCTGTCTGTGCTCTCCGTCCTCTTGGCAGTGTTCCTTGGGGTATGTTCTGCAGCATTGTAGATGTGCCCAGGTTGATAGAGGGGGCTTCATGTCCTTCACAGCTGTTTGGGGAAAATGTCTTTATTGTCAGTGATGCTTGAACTTACTTGGAACTGATTGATGTGGGTGGGCAGGAGCTCAGGCCCTGCCTGGCCTTGGCACACATTCCATTCACTCCATCGATAATCTTTCTTTCTTTCTTTCTTTCTTTCTTTCTTTCTTTCTTTCTTTTTTAACCAAAAGGAGCCACATGGAACTGGTCTGTGCCATTTTCTCCATCAGTACAGTTACAATTACCTGGTGATTGCATGTGTCCCTTTGAACTACCCTCCTGCTTTTGGTCCCCAGTACATCCTGTTCTGTATGACCTTTATATTAGTGACAGTCATAGGGAAGTGGTCAGAAGAACACATTACTCTGGATGTGCCCTCGGCAGCCTGTTGTTCTTTACCCACTCTGCGAAATTTTTCAAGTTTCCACACTTCCTTCATGATCTTGGGGTTGATGTTGAGAGGCATTTGCATTGGCAGAAAAGACTCAGAACTCTCCAGGCTTCTGGGTGCCAAGACTTTTGTGCCTCAGTGATGTGCCTGGAGTCCTGCCATGGTCAGCTGTGAAGACCTGGAAGCTCTATTTGAGTCCAGTATCTCTCACTCTCTGGTAGAAGCAAAGGCCAAGGTCCAGTTCGTGGTCAAATGGGGCTGACACGGCCCCTCTGGTCTACTTGCTAAAGCTTGCCTAGAGCTGCTCTCTGTTCAGTGGCAACCTACTCTGCCTGGGGCTCCTGAGCTCATTCACCCATTCTGCTGTAGAGCAGCATTGGGATGTTGTTACTTTCTCTGGAATAGCTCCTGGTACCTGGTACCCAGCTTCCCAGAATTGAGCTCCACAGTTTCCCTTGTTTGTCAGGTCTTTCCTCCATGGGCTTGGCACCTTGGCTTAACTTCCTGTGGTCATATTTTAAACAGTACATGTTGGGCCTGATAAGTGCCCCCTCTGAGCCCGGGGCTTTCCATGGGCTGAGGACGCCTTCCTTGCCATTGTGCTTTTCACTCTTTCAACAAACTGTAAGCCTCTGTCATGTAAACATGGTGGCCTTGCTCATGAAGAACTGTGCTATTGGTAAGACGGGCAGGCCTTGCTCACTGAACCCTGATGAAAGCTAGGTCAGGAGAGGCCAAGGTTGGGGTGGACAACTCATGGGGAAGGAAGCTAACTTAGACTAGGAGTATGTGTGTGAACAGAAGCCTGCAGAAGGTGGTATTGGAGCTAGATTGGGAGGTCAGGAAGAATGGGCAGGTAAGGAAGTTTATATGCTAAGTGGCTAGGAGTGAAGAAGGGGATGCCACCCAGGTGGGCCTGTTGGTGTGGAGAGAAAGTTGGGGACCATAGGAAATCAGAATTTTAACTGGGGAAACAGATTTGCATTTCAGAAAGGTCATTCTGACTTCTGGTTGGTGACTAGATCGGAGATAGACAAATTTGGGAGGAGACGAGTGAAAAGGTTGAGGCAGTGGCCCGCTTTGATTGACAGATTTGGCCTGGCAGTAAAGGAGAGAGTCTGGGGGATAGTTGCCATGATAAAAAGTGACTCCAGTCTTTGTGAGAGTATACTGTTAGCATTGTCGTTAAACAAGTGGAGACAGCAAGGTTCCGAGGGGAAATCCTGTCAACGAATCCATGGTTAGGAAGTAACAACTAGAAACTCACTCCAAAGTTGTGTTTTCTTCAGCTATGGCCTCTGAGATGGGGAAGAGTAGGTGGTGAGAGCTGTAGCAGCCTGAGGAGCTTTTTCTCCTCAGGGCAGAGTGAAGGGAAGTGATCAGAACACACTATTTGATGCCCTCAGCAGCCCGTTGTTCTTTACCTACTTTGCAAAATTTTTCAAGTTTCCACACTTCCTTCACGATCCTGGGGTTGATGGTGAGAGGCATTTGATTTGGCAGAAAAGACTCAGAACTCTCCAGGCTTCTGGGTGCCAAGACTTTTGTGCCTCAGTGATGTGCCTGAAGTACTGCTTGTGGAGTGTCTTATACAGGACAGTGGGGTGGGGGTGGGAGGGCAGATTTGTATGTGAGATAATCTGACAGCTGTGTGGAGGCTGGATTTGTGGGAAGTGAGACTGCAGATAGGCAACCACGGAGAAGGTTCGTTATCTCCAGATGGGACATTGTAGGGCCTGCAACCAGAGCTGCCGCAGAGGAGCTCTGTGGAGGGAGAGATGTGAGGTGTGAAGGACAGACCAGATCTGAGGGTGGGGAAAAGAGGCAGGATGTGAGTAGGTAGATGTTGATGCTGCCAAGAATAAGGAACTGGGGTTACAATGTGGAATACAAGACCAGTTTGGGCATGGTCAGCTTGAGGTGCTCTGAGACAGCCAGGCAGTGGTCCTTGGGCTGAGATAGTAATCAGGAAATTTAAAGGTCAAGATTGTGTTGGCATCATACGAAGAGGTAAATCATCTCTCCAGGAAAATGTGGAAGAAAATAGGTACCCACAAAGGAGCTAGGCTGTATGGGAAATGGTGACTGGGAGATGTGGGAAAGAGATCTGCTTCTGGGAAGGGGATAACAGAGGTCACCAAAGCGGGGTAGAAGGAAGTGGACAGAAGACATGGTCAGTGGTGTCAAATGCTAGGCAAGCCTAGTCGCCAGAAGGGCAGACCTCGGGCTTAGGAACTTATGCTTTGGTGCTTATGCTTGGGGAGATGTTACAAATGGAGCTAGAGAGCTGAGTTCAAGAACTGGCCCTAAATAAGTAGTGGGCAATGGAGGCAAAGAGGTCAGGGATCTCTGGACAACCTTGCTAATGAGGGAGAGGTGAATGAATAATTAGAAGAGCGATGGGATGACTGAGTGAGCATTTGCAGTTCAACAGAGGTGAAGTTGGAATTGATGATGAGAACTTTTCTAGGAAGCTAAGGGAAAAAAAAGGAAGAGAGACCCCAAAATAGAATATGCAAATATGCAGAGATGGGTGAGCTTTCTGAACAGATCCTTTCTCCTGATATAACTCAAATTTGGCTGGGCTGACATGGACTGGGCTGGCACAGCTTGCTGGGCACATGGGCCCGGGTTCTGCTCCTCGCCTCAGCCCCATCTGGCCTGGGCCCCAGACCAAGCTCAGATCCCTACCCTGAGGTGGCTTCTTGTTTCCTCTGTCACAGGCCTTGGCAGTGAATGGTGACGATGCTGGGGGAGTTTATTCACATGCCTCTCTGTTTGCCTCCCCTGACTCCCACAGTTTGGGCCTTCTCTGGCTCTGGGCCATGCTCATGTCAGCTTTGCTGCACTCTTGGCTCTCCTGGGCTTAGCCCTGTCTTGGTCCCATAGACTCTCAGTTGCTGCTTACAGAATTCCGCCTTGTCCAGGCCAGAAGTGCCTTTCACAGTGACCTAGGCACTGGCCGCCTATGCCTTGGCAAAGTTAAGTGCCTGCAGTGCAGTGCAATAGTGCTCATCTATCAGGCACTCTTTCTATGCTGGGGATTGAGGTGGGGACTCGTGGTGCCATCCCTGTGGATTCTTATAACCGTGAAAAGCAGTTTTTTATTGCTCTGTGCCCAAGAGTGCTGTCATTTAGGAAATGGGATGTCCTGCTGGGAAAACAGCCTTTGCAGGGCTTGGGTGAAACTGTATCTGACATAATCCCATCATTGCACTCACCCAGGCCTGGTCCCCATCCCACAGTCTGGAAGTCACCTGGGCTGAAGAGTGGGAGATTCCCAGGAATCCACAAGGACGACCCAGCAAAGACTCCTAGCAATAGTGGTGCCTGAACTGGCCTTCTCCTGTAATCAATTGTCATCATAGAGCCTTCACCCAGTGATTTATGGAACTAGACTCAGAGATCCACAACCAAGCACCAGGCTGAGCTCCAGGAATCCAGTGTGAGAGAGAGAGAGAGAAAGAGAGAGAGAGAGAGAGAGAGAGAGAGAGAGAGAGAGAGAGAGAGAGGAATATATGAGCAAGGAAGGTCAAGATCATTAAGGGGAAATCTACAGAGACAGCTGAACCAAGCTCCTGGGACAGCTGTGGAGACCCGGCCCTCTGCATGTGGGAGACAGTTGTGAAGCTTGGTCTATCTGAGGGGGCCTCTGACAGTAGGACCAGGATCCAACCCTGGCGCATGAGCTAGCTTGTGGGAGCCAATTCCCTATGGTGGATGCCAAGCTCAACCTTAATGCAGGGGCTTGGTCCTGCCTCAATTTAATGAACCAGGCTTTGTTGACTCCCCTGGGAGCCCTTACCCTTTGGAAGGAGTGGATGGGGGAGGGTAGGCT